GTCATAAAAAGATGACAGATAGAATCCCATTTACAACTAGAATTTCTTACAAAGATTTGTGTACAGTATGCCATTATCCTTCTTTAATGATTATCTGATTATCCCTCCCCAATTAGTAAAACAGTTGCAATAAAGTATGTAAAATTATGACTTTTGACCTGGGAGAGACCTAAGAAATAATCATTTAGTCCTAACTACCCACCTAAGAGCCCCATTTTTACTTAAGGTCTCACAGCTGGTTAGAGCTGGAACTAGAGTCCTGGGGCCTTGTCTCCCAGTTCAGAGCTCAAGTCCCCAAGTGGGGACTTCAAGTTTTCCAACTTCCACGCTTGGTGGACTGAGCTAAAAACTCTTAGCCCTAACCCTTTGCCCTCCACTTTAAATCCACCTAAACTCTCTAACCATTTTCACAAGCCAGCCAGAGAAATATCAGGAGGGAAGAGGGAAAGGTGGGAAGGGAGCCTGCCATGACTTTCCATCAAGTTCAAGACATTACTTCTGCTTTGGTAACTCACTATGGAAAGACTTGGCTTTACTTCTCTTTTATCTCTATGCTCCCTACCTGTGTTCTTTTTTTTTATTTATTTTTTTGCTGAGGAAGATTCACCCTGAGCTAACATCTGTTGCCAATCTTCCTCTTTTTGCTTGAAGAAGATTGTCCCTGAGCTAACATCTGTGCCAGTCTTCCTCTCTTTTGTATGTGGGTCGCTGCCACAGCATGGCTGCTGATGAGTGGTGTTGGTCTGCACCCAGGTACTTAACCTGGGCCGCTGAAGTAGAGCATGCTGAACCTAACCACTAGGCCATGGGGCCGGCCCCTCTTACCTGTGTTCTTGACCTCACCTTTCTTCTGCTTCTCTTGCTCCATCAAAATTCTTTTTTTTTTTGTATCTTCAAATTCTTTATGTTCATTAGTTCCTTCCCATTAGGCCTGCAAATATGATTACTTTTTGCTTAATAAAAATGTTCCCTTGGTTCTGTTTCCCCTTAAGGTGGCCATCCATTTCTTTCCCTTAAGGAATTTTTTATAATCTGTTATTAGGAGATATTATGTTTAAGTAGATAAAAGAATTGAAGGATTATATGAGATAATATATAATTAAATGCCACAATGTTTACATTGTAAGTTCAGTCTGATAATGAAAGAGGGATACGTTAAACTATAGTCATTGGTAGTTCTGGAAAAAAGGTGATTTTGACACATTTATAGCTTTCCTAAGTATTGGAGTTTTCGAAAGAGTCTGAAATTAGATAAAAGTGTCTGTCTATTTGGGAATGAGATTGAAGGAATTTTTTTAAGAAATTATTTTATTGAGGTCATATTGGCTCGTAACAGTGTGTAAATTTCAGGTGTATGATATTGTATATCAGTTTCTGTATAGACTGCATCATGTTCACTGCCAATAGTCTAGTTTTTATCTGTCACCATACACTTGTGCCCATTTACCCCTTTTGCCCTCCCCCCATCCCTTTCCCATCTGGTAACCACTAATCTGTTCACCTCATCCATGTGTTTGTGTATGAGGTTGAAGGAATTTTTACATTGGAAAGACGTGTAATGTAGATGACTAGAATCTAACCTTTTATGATTGTATGGTATATTTTATAATTCTGTGATATGGAAGCATGTGCTTGTGCTTTTTTCATAGTCAAATAAAAGATATCATACTTTCAAAAGAGGGCAAATAAAATAAATATAATTCATACATCAGTTATCTTTGTCTCCAACAATAATCTAATAGAATTCTTTTTCCTTAGGTGGAAAGTATTTTTATATGTAATATTAATGAGATATATAAATGTGACTGCTCAGTAATGTCTTTGGAAATGATAAAGTCAGTTATGTCTTTGCAGTATAGAATCTATGCTGATATATTAGGGTGTTAAGCGTGTATTTTGATCGCTGATCTCTCTCACTGCCGAAAAATTCAACAATCACACCACAAAACCACATGCAACCACTGTTGGAAGAAGAATCCTTTGGGTACTTTTTTGGTGTTGGTGGTTTGTTTGAAGAAAGAGAAAATCACTCGTTAGGGTCTGAATGATTTATAGAGCTCTCTCTCAAGCATGACGTTTGAGGAGATATGTGTGTGATTTTACAGGAAGAATAGGCTGAATATGTGCCAGCAGTGGCAAGCTTTACTCTAAACATTCCCAGCTTCAGACACCTTAGCCTGAAGAGAACAGAGGGCAGGAAAGGGGAACTGTCTAATAATACCATACACATGACACAAGCACACCTGCTAGTGACTGCAGCCTCTTACCTGTTCATGGCTTTTTGCTCGGTTTTGTCCTTCTCTGTTCTTCACTTGGGACTTTTAGCTTTGATCTGAGAGTTAAATAAAAAGCTTGAGATGGAAAAATGCAAAAAAAAGGAGGAAAGTAAAGTCTGATAACAGGCAAATGCAGAAATATATTGAAAACCTTGGTGCTTGAGGAAATACGTCCTTCTACATCTCTCTTAAATTTGGAGCCATCTCTTTCTTTCAGTTTTATATGGCCCTGGGGACCTGCCACTGCTTTAATACTCTAACATGGGAATAAGAGAGAGAGTGGAAATACCCAGCTCTTGGGTCTCAGGGTGTGTTAGGTAGTATTTTCATTGAGAGGATCTTCTGGCATAGTTTCTCCCTTCTCAAACATAGCTCGCTTGACTTGCCTGAGACTTCTCCTTTCTCTCTCAAATTTTCTTGATGTTGTGGTTTCTGTATTCATGACACTTTTAGATTCTTCAGGCATCTGCCTCAAAAGTATGATCGAATAAGCATCAACCAAGTGAGATGCACTTTTCTCAGAGAGGTTACAGATTCCTTAAGGGAATAGGGCCAGGGATTATAGCCAGGAGAAAGGAGAATATAGTTTTCTGGAAAAAATGCTGGACTGGGAATCAAGAGCCTTACACTCTATTTCCATCAAACTAACTTGTAAGTTTATGACTTTAGCTAAGATATTTATCCTGTCTGTCATGCAGTCTCACTATCTAAAAGGATTGCATGTAAAGTCGCTTTGAGAACTAACTTAAAGGATCTTAGAGAGCATGTGTCTAATTTTCAGTTAGAGGCAATTGGCGTGATGTATGTTCCCCTCATACCTTTGAAGAAGAACCTGAGAATCTTGGAGCTGGAAGGAATCTCAAGGAGTCTTCTACTTTTTCAACCTCTGAGATAAACCAAAACGCTCTGATTTTTCTCATTGTTATCATTACATCATCTGAATAAAAGACCTTGGCATTTTCACAGAAGTATTATGTTTAGGACAATGAGGAAGTTGAGTCAGAACTTGTTTTGTCTGTCATCACTTAAAATACGGCTGTACGCTGAGATGTTATCTATAAGGTCTAGCCTGGCAACCAAAATGAGGTGAAGAGGCTGGCTGCAAGATTGTAGGGAGTGGAGGGGTCTGTAGGGACGGGGAACACATACCCTGCATGCGTGGGGCGGCCACTCCTGAATTTTAAAACACCAGATGGGCCCAGCAAAACATACCTCTCAGTGGTAAAGGGCCATGGCTGGCAGTGAATGATGGCTTATTGAAAACAACAAATTTGTATTATTAGGAATTATACGTTGGGGAATTCACCGATTTAAATAATAAAATATAGTCATAGAAGATACGTACAAGCTGTTTCCCTCAGGTATATAATTTGTGCAGTCCTTCTTCTAACAGGCCTTCTTCTTTCTGCATACTTGAATCCTCATCCATTCTCCTTAAAAAATGTTTCTTTCCTCGGAATTATTAATTCTTGCAAGTTTTCTATTCTTACGTCCTAACTTTTTTTCAAAGATCCTTTAATGTTGAATGGTTAGCCTCCCACCCCCCAACAGAAGCAATTATTCCTTAACTATTTTCCAGTTTTTAATTCCACTCCCCACAAAGAGCTTGACCCATAAGTCTAACCTGAATCGTTACCTTAAGCCCCCTTTCTCACATTTTACTGTTTGTAGGAGGAACAGTTGATCAGTGTTCTCCTTGTAATACCCTTCATGTTATTCAGTTGAAAATAACCATGTTTGTTTTTTTTCTTTTGGCACTACAAGTCTGGAAATTTTATCATGGATTTTGTTTTCCAGTGCTCTGATAATTATAATGTAATTACTTTTCACTGAACTCTCTCCAATCTCTATACTAAAAAAATAATATTTGAACTGTACCCGGTCCTTTTATGGGCTGATCCAACTGGTGAGATAATACCACTATCTTATTGCTTTTGTCAGAGAGTTAGCACCACACACTGCATTGTATTCACTGTACACTCTATGACCTCAATATCTTTTTTCTCCCTTCTGGCTCTGTTATAGTCAGACTTTCTTCATATTTTATCCACGTAATTCATTTTTCATTTGTAAGTGTGCTACCTTATACTCACACCTAGTAAGCACTATCTTGTTTTTGATGGATCATTTCTGTCTCTGTTTGTCAAGGTTACTTGGAATTCTATTATATTTCAGAGAAGCTAGAAACCTTAACTTAGTTTGTAGCCACAAAATGACTGAGAATGCTTTCAATTCCATTATGACAGTCATTGATTAAAAATATTCAATAATATTGGACCCAGGAGTCTGGATGTTGTTTTATAACCATCCCAAGTTGCATCAAGCCATTTATTTCTGTCACTGTTAACTAATGGTTTTCCTGTTTCTGGATGTTTTTAAACTCCACAGACATTGGCATTATAGTTTCTTGCTTGATTATAGAAATTAGATTTGAATGATTTAGAATTATAACCTAGGGGTTTGTGGTTGGTGGTAGTGGAGAGAATAAACCCAATAATTGTTTAATTTATGCATGTAGCTTTGGTAGCATCATTATTTTATATTTTTAGTAGCAAGGTGAGAGAAAAATAGAGAAACCTTTGAATTGAGTAGAAATGTCTATTTTGTAGATATTTTGTCTTATGTTGGACTTTGAGAATGTCTATGCTTTGATTTAAATTTAAAAGTCAGTGTCCTGTTTAATATATGAACATAATGAGATGCATTTTTTTTTTATTGTCATTACAGGTTTCGGAAGGTGACAATGAAATGTGAAGAAGTTACATTTCTAATGTGATACTTGAAAGTTAGTGACTGCTTGCCAAATTTTCATGAAGATTAAATATGACTTAGAAGCATTGATTTATGAAGGTTTATGATGTCATCGGTTGCGACAGAAAGCAAACTCCAGCAGGCTGTGAGCCTGCAGGGAGTTGACCCAGAAACATGCATGATTGTATTTAAAAACCACTGGGCGCAGGTAATGTATGAGTTCCACCTTCTCTGCTGGTCTAGGTAGCCCTAGAGTCCATCACACTGAACCAGAGTTTCCCACTGCTGTGACAGGTAACTAGGCTTCCAGAAACATAGGGAAGAAAATCTTTTTGGGTAGGAAGAAAAACAATGTCCTCTTCTTGCTTTCCTAGAATAGTATCTGGTTAAAAACCATGGTTTTTGGGGCCGGCCCGGTGGCGCAAGCGGTTAAGTGCGCGCGCTCCGCTGCGGCGGCCCGGGGTTCGCTGGTTTGGATCCCGGGCGCGCACCGACGCACTGCTTGGCAAGCCATGCTGTGGCGGCGTCCCATATAAAGTGGAGGAAGATGGGCACAGATGTTAGCCCAGGGCCGTCTTCCTCAGCAAAAAAAGAGGAGGATTGGCGGATGTTAGCACAGGGCTGATCTCCTCACAAAAAAAAAAACAAACAAACAAAAACCACGGTTTTCACAAAAGCAACTAGGGAACATGTATGTTCCTCAGATATTTTTAGAAGAACAGCAGTTGGCCTTAAAGTGACTTTTACATCACTTTGCAATATACTTGACCGTGATTACATCCTCTCTCTTTCCCTCCTCCCTGCTGACTTCCATCCAGTCCTTACACTCTACCAATACTAAAATACACTTTTATTAAATATTTACCGAGTGCTGTGTTGAATACTTCAAAAGCCTTATATCGTTTAATCTTCTCCACAAACCCATAAGGCAGTTAGTATTAGCTTCCTCATTTTACAGATGAGGGAATGGAAAATTATAGAGGTTAAATAATTTGGTTGAGGTTATACAACTAGTGAGTTTCCAAGCAAGTACTTAGACCTTGGTCCCTTGACCTCAAGACCTGTGTACTTGGCCGCTATGCTCTATCATGTTTCAGGCTGGTGGTCCCTGTGTAATTTAAGGAAAGAAGATGCCTGGTGTTATCTGAATTCATTACAAAGCTGATTATAAAAGTTTTTTGATAATTCATTTTGACTTCTCTGTGACTCTTCTCTGATGTGCTTGTATGTATAATTAAGGTTTGAATGTTCAGAAAATTTACCAGCTCACCCCTTTCCTGAGGGAGTTTGCAAGTAGTAAAATAAATAAAATTGACATTCTTTACTACCTGTCCAACATTACATTCCTCAGGTGAGCTGGTAAGTGGCTATTTGTGTGACAGTGTTTTAATGACTACCCAGTTCCTTCCTGTGGCCGGAAACAGCACATGGGTTAAAGCACTGAGCCTGTAAATCACAGCAATTATAGGGGACACAGTTTAGATCAAAAACAAAATCAATTCTGCTTCTGGGTCATTTACACTTTGTAGCTTCTTGTCACTATCCAGTGTAAAGCTTCTAAGATTTTTTATGCATTTTCCATTCTCTGGTTTTTACTGTTAGAATCTTAATGACTTTGCTTTGGATATTAAGGGCACATCTGCTTTAGCAAAGGGAAGAAAGTAATTCAGGACTTTTCCAGATAATTAGAGTAACTAATTTTGGCTTTGCACTTTTAGAAGCATTTTAAAGCACTGGCTCCAAAGTGGGGTGGCGAACCCTGACGGATGTGCCCCATAGTCCATTGAGTATGGGAAGAATAGTTTAGAAGGTCTATTTCTATCTTTATCTTTAAAATATTTCTATTTTGTGTTTATAATGTAGATATTATATTTGTATATTAGTATGTGTATATATTTTAGTTTATTTAATTATTTGTGCTCATTTTTTAAACTGGTAGGAGCACACAGTCAGATGTTTTATATTGAGAACATTTTCAGCCCCAGTCATTTCATTTGGCTGAAGAAGTCTGTTATTGTAATATGTATTCTTTGCTCTGGGCCCCATTTTGTTTGTTTGTATATAGTACCTTTGATTGTAATCATTCCTGCTGGGTTATCTGTGATGTGATCCATTTAGTATTCTGTACCCCTCTTCAAAGACATATGATGTATTATCAACCTCTTGATTTTATGTAGATGGATCTTTTGCCCTGTTAAATTATGTCCCGGGCAAGCTTTTTCCAAAGCTGTTGGAATGCTGTTAAGAGTGTCTTAATTCAGCAGTGTGTAAATGCTCTTTCTCATTAGTGAAGGAGTAAATATTGGTCCCAGAATCGTATTATTCATTTCCATATCCAATATGAATGACTTCAGCATTATCAGACAATTTGGGTTATCTGAAGCATAGCACCCCCCTTTAGTGCTGATGCATAACACCCTCTGTTTAGTGCAGAAAAATATTGAGTTGAGGGTAAGGATAACTTTGTCAGAGGGAATGGTGTTTAGTTATTAAACACTTCCTTTTGTAAAGTGGGGACACTCTTGGTCTTATGTTGTTTCAGCCATTTCTTTAACATTGGGCAAGTTTCTTACTGTAATCTTTAGTCTTGACTTTTCCTTTTAAATAAATCTGGAGAACACTCTCAGTCTCTGTCTACTTCCAAAGGTTCTTGAGGACGTTTCTGTTACCTTTATGAATAAATATACTGGTTCGAGAAATTCATGTGGATGTCAATGTGATTATTGTTAAATGGAGATTTACTGAGTCCAAACTTAAGGTACATCACTGTAGGCATCACAAGTGGGACACAGGAATGTATTAGCCTTGGTCTGGGCTTTTAAAGGATGCATAATCTAATTTGGATGACAACATGAGATACATTATTACAAAGTGAATAATAATGATTATAGGAATCAAGTCAAGAGAAAGGACTTTTATGGATGGAAATGGCCTGGAAAATGGAGAAAGTGAGATTTTGCTAGCTTGACTGTGGACAAAGGAGGTTTTAATGATAGAAAGGAAAAGAACATTTTAGAGAAGGGTTATTGGGAAGAAATGCTCAGCTTTGGCTTTTTTGAATGGTAAAAAAAAAAGATGAAGCAGTCGGGGCAAGGCAGAGATGTGGGGCTAAGTGTGAGGTAAGGGCTGAGACCTTCAGTTGATAGGAATAAATGCCACTTATTCATTGTTTTGGAGTTTCATACATTAGCACTTTGCTGTGAGTTGTTCAGGCTGGGGATGGATGAAGAGCAGTTGCAGAGGCTTGGGAAATGGACAAAAATCTGACATAAACTCCTATGACTAGTGTGCCTGTAGCCCCTGGGTTCCCCTGAGGCAACTCAAGAAAACCTGTAAGGCTGGTGAGAAATGTGGCAAAGACAGAACTGCACTACAGCATTTTATTTACTGAAGTGTCCCATTAGCTGGCAAGTAGAGTACTTTTTTATATATTAAATTAGGAAAAATGAAGGCAACAAAAGCCTCTGGTGTCCAGAGTTCTTCTGTTTGTGAGGATACTTCAGTATGAATTCAGCATAATTAACGTATTTGACAGGTTCTGTTCTGCTGTTTACTAGTAGCTTCTATTCCAGAGCTTGAGTTAAAAAGCAAACTTTGATGGAAGAAGATATCTGCTTGCCCACCTACACCCTGCAGTCTGTCAGGGACAGCTAGTTATACGACCAACCATCATCCAAGGCAGTCTGTGATCAGGTGGGTCGCCAGCGGGGAGACCTTGAGGGGCCCAGTGGTGCACTTGAGTTTCCAAACTGTTCCCTGGGTCCAGTGATCTCATGGCATTCCCAGAATAGTTCTACAGTGGACGTTCGGGAATAGTTGCATTCCTAATAATGACACTGGAGAATCCAGGCTATAGGAAGTAGCCTCTGGCCTGTACTTCTTCTCATCTTCTGAGATGCCATCTTGCGTTATAAGTCACCAGAGCAATGAATCTAAAATCCAGATCTGTCTGGGTCATTTCTCTAGTTGCACATTTCAGTGGCATTTGGCCATCTACAGGCCAGGGTTCTTTATGTTCTGGCCTCTTTCACTCCCTGTCTCTCATTTAGTCTCTAGAAATGAAAAATTACTTGGAGTTCTGTGCCACCCCCACCCCTGGGCAGTGCCCATGGTGCTATTTCATGCCTCTCTGCCTTGGTCACTTAGTCTTCTTTCTGCCTGGAATATCCCTCCCTCTAGTTAACTGCCGCCTCTTCTATAGGACTCATTTGGGACATCATTTCCCCCAGGAAACCTTCCCGGCCCTCTGTCATGCTCCTGTTCTGTGCTCCAGCAGTTCCCTGAGTATTCTTTCACTGTTACACCAACCACCTTGTATTAAAATTACATGTACAGTATCTTCTTCCCAACCTCATTAAGCTCCTTGTGATCAGAGACCATTTGTAATTTACCTGCATCTCCAGTGCCAAGAACAGAGTGTGGCATCTTAAGATGTTCAATAAATTGTTGAACTGAAAAACAGGAAATATGAAATATAACTTTAGAAGAGCTAGGCAACTTAGAAAGCAGCTTTGAACATACACTAATTTTAAAACATTTTATGATTTGCTACCAGCAAGATCTCTGGACTTAAACGTTTAATGATAATGATCTAGAGGAGTGTGCGTGTGTGTTAAATTTTTGTAGTAGTCTGTAAGAACAGTTTATAGTCTAGTAGACTGTTGTTTTTTTTTAATAATTTTATTTATTTTTCCCCCAAAGCCCCAGTAGATAGTTGTATAGTTGCATATCCTTCTAGTTGCTGTATGTGGGACGTGGCCTCAGCATAGCCAGACAAACAGTGCGTCGGTGTGCGCCCGGGATCCGAACCCGGGCCGCCAGCAGCAGAGCGCGCGCACTTAACCACTAAGCCACGGGGCCGGCCCATAGACTGTTGTTTTTATCTCTTGCCTTTGCTTCTTTGCGTTTTCTGAATGGAAGAGAGAGCAAGAAGAAGCATTGGTCCACCAGGTAATAAACTTTTCAACTATGTTGCCGTGTGAATTAAACTGGTTATTCTTAATAGCACAGTGGTACTTTGTGGAGCTTCATGGACCTTGCTCTCTTCATTCTCTATCCTCTCCTTTCAAGCTTTGGATCAGTATTAGTTATGAACTAAATGGTGTCTGCTTTTAGAGCCAGGAGAACAGAGGTGATGGGTTAAAAAAAAAAATCAATTGGAAATGTATGTTTCTGTGTGCTTCTAGTTAATTGCCCAAAAGTTCTCCT